TTTTATTGCATGACTATAAATAATCAACTGTTTATGTTAGTATATATTATATTTTATATTGTGAAATGTGGGGATTAGTGTTATTTGCCTTAGCGCCACACCAATTTTTCTTGTCTATATACGTATACTTTTTGGTTAAAGGGTGGGTGTTGGCAGACTTAAGTGTAGGTTTTTCTTCATCTGAAGCGCAGAGGTATTAATATTTTTACTCTCTGACATACCCATCAACACCTTTTACCCACCTACAGGTAGACTTTACACACATGCCAAAGGAAGGGAAAAGACAGGAATATCTTTTGGTAATTGTGGACATGTTTAGCCGCTGGGTAGAAAGCTTTGTAACCACAAAAGAAGATGCCCAAACTGTAGTGAGGATCCTCACACGGGAAATTATTCCCAGGTGGGGATGTCCACTCCAGATTAATTCTGACAAACGGCCCGCATTTGTGGCCAGGTATGTCAGGATTTGGTGAAATAAACACTCAAAATTGAGTGGAAGTTTCACATTCCTTACCACCCTCGCAGAGCTCAGGTTATAGTGGAAAGGATGAATAGGACCATCAAGGATAAAATTAGGAATCATACTGGAGGGTACCTCTGCAAACAGGAGAAAAGTACACTGCCTGCAGTCTTGGCAGATGGTAAGGAATAGACACCAATTCTACACACCTACAGGTTACTTACTGCCCCCCCATTGAGGTTTCCTAATCTGGTTAGGCCCATTTATCCCACACCTTTTCCTCCCAGTGGGCAGACAGCAGCCCACTAATGGGAAGATAAGAGCGTGGCGAATTTGGCTTGAAATTTATTCAGGAGGCGAATCATGTAGTGAGAAAATTACTTGAAAACTTTGGGTACAAGGTTGAAAGAATTGTTGCTCGCAGCTTTCCTCTTTCTTCACAGAACCAACTCACTCTATTCAGTCGGGGACTGTGTTGGGGGGAGATTTAAAAAGGCCCCATTAGGAATCGAAGCAGTAAGTATCCCTTTGGGACCCCCCACTTCTGTGATCGCTGTCACCGGGGACCCTGCCTGACTGAGGATCCAAGGCCGGGATCCATGCCACCCGGGGAAAAAGGGTAAAACCAAGCCCCTAAGAAGCAACAAAGACACAGATACAAAAAGAAAAAAAGGGAAATTTGAAGCCGGTGTAAAAGTTTTGAAAAAAGATGACTTTTTTTGGGGCCTCACAGAACTTTGGGGGCAGACATTTTGTTTCCCTTTGTACTAGCAACCCCCTGACTGTTTTCCTCCCAGTATGGCAATAACTAATGTTTTTATCACCCAGAGATTATGGAGTGATTAGAGTAATTAATCCCCCCACCAAGCTAGTGCCCAATAATGCAGAATCAGTGCAACACAAAACAAAAGTAAAACAACATCCTAGTTCAAAAAAAACGGGTCTAACCCGCCTAAGAAAAGGTTTAAAGGATGTCCTTTGTACCAATAAGGGAGGGGGGACAGAAACACCAGTCTTGATATGAGGTTTCAAACCAACCATAGTTTTTTACTAGACTAAGAACCGGGTTTTTTGCCCGACCAAATTATTTTATGATTTGGACCTCATAATGTATAATTTTGTGGGAAGGAAAGTAGTGGTGACTGGGAGAAGTTGGTGGAAACAACCCCCATAAATGGGAGACCAAATACTAGAATTTCCCCAGAGACGTAGGCCCTATCAAAGAATCTCATAGCAAAAGGCCAAGGGAATATCTTTTCCCAAAAATGGGAAAACCCAAGGTCAGAGATAGGGGGGAAATTTTAAAGGTTGGGGAATAACTGTGTCAGGAACAGCCCCCCGGGCCAAAGTCATATTACAGGTAAAACCCTCCCAAGAGTCCATGTCAATACCAAGACAATTCATTCCCCAAAGTTAGGGATCGATTTGGATAACGGGGGGAAGGGAGTAGTGATGAAAATTAGAAGACGATTAAGCATTGAAATGGTTTACTCTGCAAAAATGAAGGGATAAAGGGGGAGAGGCTCCGTATCTAAATGTAAGGGGAAGAGAGACAGTGTTTCATGTGCACTAATCCCCGCCCTACTTGCCACCAGTCTCCTGTTAGAAGAAGAAAACTAAATATTTGTCCTGTTAACACTTAAGATGTCTAAAAGGTACACACAGCTGAGTCCGGAAAGTTAGATTTAGATAATGAAGCTTACCTAGTATACCGGATTACTGGAAATTTACCCTTTGCTCTAACTGGTACAGGAGAATCAGTCTGCATCTGACCATAGAAGCAGATAGGAACGCTTGAAGGTACACATCTCACCTATTATGATATTTAGACCTCCTGTACTCCGCCTGAAGGGTGTGTGTGAATGGGGGGTGGGTGGGTGGGTGGTTTGGTTGGGAGGGGAATGGACTCCAGCAGCTCCCTGTCAGCATGTTATGGTTGGTGTTGGAGATCTGAGGACAGTTCGTGAAGCCAGACTCCCCAGAGATGGAAGGAGCACCCCGTGGTTCCTTTGACAAAAGAGTTTACTTGTCAGGGGGGCTCCAAAAACCTTTCAAACAAAGGGCCAAAATTTTCTGCCTTCGACTTCGGGGGGGGGAATTGTGGCCATGGGGTGAAAATGTCCTGGGCCCCGCATTATGAAAATAAACATGGGCCCAGGGGTTGGTGATCAAAACAGGAAGGGGTAGTGCTCCACATTGGATTAGTGGAAGAATAATACCCCCCCTCGTTTGTGTCGGGGAGGAATTATCCCCACTGTTTATGTCCAGGATAGTGCCCCAAGGGCCAAAAAAAGGGTCAAAAGGGGGCCCCTTTCGGCCCCTTTGGACCCATTTGGAACCCCTGACATAGAGCATAGGGTTTTCCCAAAAGGAAATCCCGATGAATTTAAAGCTCAGGATCAGATTGGCAGGGTTTACCCTTTTTCGTTTAAAGGGTACGCCTAAAAAAAATGTGGATTTGGATTATTACATTTTATAAACAACAAATGTTTTTAACTTATAGAATGCTCTAAAGGGGGGGCTTGCCCAACTTGAAGAACATCCTTCTTTGGGAAAAACCGATTGCCTTGATATGTTATTAGCTGAAAAAGGAGGATATGTAAAATGTTTTGGTTTCCCCTGCTGCACTTTTATCCCCAATAACAAAGCTCCTGATGGGAAACATTACTAAGCCCTTTAAGGCCTAAATGTTATTAAAAATTGGGTGAAAACTCAGGAGTAAAAAATCCACTACCGCCTATTTTGAAACCTGGTTTTGGAAATGGGGAACCGATGAAAAATATGTCTTCAAAAGTAATGGCCGCTGCGTTTTAACTCTGTTGGTTGCTGTTGTATTCCCGTATCCGGGTTTTAAAGCAGAAACTTATTGACGGCACCATTACAAAACCATGGGAATCAGTGTCTTGACAAAAGACGTACGAAGGGCCCCAGGTCAAACCGTAATTAAATGTAAGGTCACGTGCGTGACCCAAGAGGGATTTGAAAAAAGCCTTTTTAGCCTAAAATACAGCCCTTTTTGCTAAAATTTGTAAAGGGCCATTTTTCAAATTGATAGCTTAATTAACAAATATGAAAAAAATACTTAAAGCTTGTATATTCTGTTTTTTAAAAAAACTTAAAAAATAAGTTCCCCTTTCTGTTGTATGTTATCTTTTACATGAAACTTAAAGGTTCCTCTTTTGTGTCTCATATTCTCAAGAAACCTAAAGAACTTCCTCTTTCTCTTAAACTCCAAGTTCTCTTTTTCTTCTTATCAGATTAAACTGAAAAGTTAGTGGTTAAGCGATATATTAAAAATATACATATTTCTTTTTCTTAAGAATTTAGAAATTTCCATAAAGGTTTAAGAGTTCAAATATGACGTATATCACAAATGATTGGCCATTACTGACGTATGTAACACTTGATTGGCTTATGCATATCTGATATTTGATTGGCTTCTATATTTTATGCATTGTTTGAAGTTTCTTATATAAGCTGAAACACGGAAGAATAAATTCAGTTCATTCTGAGATACCACCTTGTGTCTGCGTTTCCTGTGTCTCAAAGTGGACTCCAGGCCTGAGGACAATCACTGATCAAGCCAGGGACTGACGGGGGTCAGTGTCTTGAGAGGGATGAGAGTCAAATTCCTTTCACCTACCTGCCCGTTAGTTGCTGTACCCGGCTCGTGACCTGACAACTCTCTGCCTGCTCCTCCTGTTCCTACCTGCCCGATTGATATTGACCCGGCCTGCCTGACGACGCTTGCATTGTATGTATTGTTATCTGTGGGTGGTTTGGTTCGTTTGCACTGTGTTTATGTTTTAGTATTGCACTGCGTTTATGTATTGTTAGTGTTAATAAATTGTATTGTTTATACCATATCTGAAGCCTGCGTTTCCCTGCGTCAGTTCACATACCTCTGGTCATATCCTGCAGCCCTGACATTACACCAAGGCCATCCTGACCAGAAGTGGCTGCACAGGGAAGCCATCTTGGCTTGTTTCTGGGAAGGATGGATCTGGATGAGGTTGCGTATTTATATCTGCTGGTTTTTGACGACAGAGATATGCTTATCAGACTCTGAGGGGGTATCCCGGGATGAACTGCTCGAATGTATACGGGATTCGTCATGTTCTAGTAGATCAGGGCAATAGTTTTTGGGGTGCAGCTTTGGGATTTATTTTCAGGGGGGGGGTTTACGGGTGTAGAGTTGGCTAATCTGGTTACTGCATGAGGGATGACTTTTTGCACCATTTTAGTGAGACCAGGGTAGAGTCCTGGTCATGATGGTTAATTAGCGGATGATGTGGCTAGCTTCTTGGAGCCATTATGCTGATGTTCCCACACAAGGTTTTAAGGGATTGTATAAACGCAGTGCAGTCAATGACCAAGAAGGCTTTGTGTAAGCGGAGCTTTGTTCAACCCATAACTGCAGAACATAGGTCAGATTTGTTGCACCCAGCCTCAGTCTGCTTGCAACGTCATTTCTCTGCTCAAAGTGCACTCTTCCTGCATCCCCGACAGCACCCCCAGTGACGGTCCCAGTATACTCTTGCTAACTACCACATATCAGTCCTCTGCTCCCACTCACTGCACCTATCCTTTCTTAACCCTGTAAAGAAGTCCTCTGTAGCAACTGCTCCCTCCTCGTGTTCCATCCTCCAGCTCTTCTCTGTCCTCAGCTGCTCCATTCGTTTGCAGACCTGCGTTTACTTGCAGTGCTCCAGTAAGTTAAAACCAGAAAAAAGCAAAAATTCTTTCCAACCAGTACCATCCTGCCAGTATCCAAACCGGTGAGCCTGCCCAGTCTGAGAACCTGCCCTTCCGTGGTGCAGACTGGTGAACCTCGGCACCCGCACTTCAGCCTGATGTCCCTACCCCAGTCCTGATGTCTGTACCCAGCCTGATGAACTGATCCCAGCCTGATGATCCTATCACGCCTGATGACCAGTGCCCGCTGTAATACCTGGTGACCCGATGACCGCTGTCGAGCCAGACGATCCAATGCCTGGTGACCCGATGCCCGCTGTCGAGGCCAGACGATTCCAGCGCCAGATGACCGGGGTGCCTGCTGTCAAGCCAAGGACGATCCGGTACCTGATGACCCGGTGCCCGCTGTCGTGCCAATTGACTCAGAGCCCACTGTTGTGCCTGGTGACTCGGTGCCCACTGCTTGCCATGATGACGCGGTGCCCGCTGTCGAGCCAAATGACCTGATGCCTGGTGATCCGATGCCCGCTGTCAAGCCAGACGATCCAATGTCTGACGACCCGGTGCCCGCTGCTTCCTCCGCCTGGGGGCCCGGTGCCCCGCCGCCCCTCCTGGGGGCCCGGCGCCCGCCGCTCCGCCTGGGGGCCCGGCTGCGCCACCGTTCCGCCTGGGGGCCCGGTACCTGTCGCTCCGCCTGGGGGCCCAGTGCCTGCCGCCCCTCCAGGGGGCCCGGTGCCTGCCGCCCCACCTGGGGGCCCGCCACTCCACCCGGGGGTGCCCGGTGCCCGCCGCTCCACCTGAGGGCCCGCCGCTCTGCCTGGGGACCCAGCGCCCACCTTCCCCGTCTGGGGGCCCGCTGCTCCGCCTGGGGGCCCGGTGCCTGCCCACCCCGCCTGGGGGCCCTGTGCTTGCCGCTTCTCCTGGGGGCCCTGTGCCTGTGCGTGGAGTCCAGCCCGATGTGCCTCTGCCCGGAGTCCAGCCCGATGTGCCTCTGCCCAGAGTCCAGCCCGATGTGCCAGTCTTTGATATCCCGCCAGTTACCAGACCCGGGCGGTGGAACATTTTGCCCAGCTAGGACTGTTTTTTGGAGCGTCCTGAGGCCGCTCCTTGAGGGGGGGGGGGGTACTGTCAGGAATGGACTTGCCAGTAATGGTGGGACTCACCTGCCTTGTGGGCTGCAGTACCAGGGCTGGCCAGCAGGTGCTCTCAGCAATCAGAGACTCAACCCTGAAGCCAGCCAAAACACCTGAAGCTGATTACGGAGGTGTATTTAAGGGATTGCCAGACCTGCAGTCTGTGCCTTGGTGTGTGTTTTTCTATGGGCCCCTGTATCTTGTTACCTGCATTCCTGTTTCTGTTCCTGTCTGACTGATTTCGTTGCCGACCCTGCCTGATCCGGACCTCTGCTGACTTCTCCTGTTTGATCCCTGGCTTGTGACCCCGACCATTCTCTGCCTGACCCCCTGTACCTACCTGACCGTTAGTTGCTGTACCCGGCTCGTGACCTGACTACTCTCTACCTGCTCCTCCTGTTCCTACCTGCCCGATTGTTATTGACCCCGTCCTGCCTGACTACGCTAGCATTGTATGTATTGTTATCTGTGGGTGGTTTGGTTTGGTTCGTTTGCACTTTGTTTATGTTTTAGTATTGCACTGCGTTTATGTATTGGTAGTATTAATAAATTATATTGTTTATAACATATCTGAAGCCTGCGTTTCCCTGCGTCAGTTCACATACCTCTGGTCATACCCCGGGAGCCCTGACAGCCCCCTTGTCCCTCTGTGATGACCTCAGGGGGAATAGCTGTGATGTGATGCCCCCATAGTGCTGTGTGCCTGACCACGAGAAGGATGACATCTACTGTACAACACCACATCTCTTCTTGAGTACATTGCTCTGCCCATTGGATTGAATGACTGATCCACCGCCTGCTGTGACCTCAGAGGGACAGTGTCTGGATAGAGCGGGCCCCGAGAGTCCTCCACTTCCTCCTGATGCTCTGCCTTGAGTGCCCTTTCCACGATGCCACGCAGTGAGCTCTCCTCCAACAGGAACATGATTGGTACAATGCAGCTGATGCATGCCTAGTCATGGTTCATGGGGGGGGAAACAGTGGCGCTCTGGGAGTCAGGACTAAGGGGGAGAAGAACAACTAAAAATCAATAATTGTCCCAAACAAACATATGATAAAGGGTTAATGGTCCATGTCTATCTAGTCCTTGTAGATAACAAGTCCAACTCAGGGTCGGGACAAGGGGTGGGCAGGAGGGCAGTTTTTGCCCCTGTGCGCAGCAGAGCAAGGGGGCAGAGAATTAACGTAGGTCAGTACTAACCCATTCTACAACATGCATTAGTAATGGGGGAGGGGGTGCAGTTTCTGCATCCTTGCCCTGGGCACATAATGGACCTGTCCCAATACTGGTCCAGCTGACTATGTCCCACACGGACTCAGGGTGAGGAAGCTGCCAGCTGTCAGAGTAGAAGCTCCTCTGTGGTAGGCAGAAAAGAAGGGATACAGCAGCACTTTCTAAGTGTAGTATGAAAGGAAAAAAACGATTTATTAATAAATAAGACGACTCACAAGAGAAGCAATTGATAAAAACCGCATCTCCCATGTAGCCATCTTCTAAAGATGATCCTGCCTGGACCGCTGAAGGTGACGTCTCCCCGGGCCTAGGACGCTGGTGATGACCAAGGCTCCAGGAAACCGGAAGTCGAGAAGAGGCTGGTGGGGGGCTGTGGAAGGAGCACGCATGATCCGATAGTCTGGTCCTGCTGGTAGCCAATCCCTCTGGTCGCTGGCCAACGTTCCATGCAGCCTCTTCTTTTTACAGCGTTCCTGATGGCAGGAAAGCTGAACTGAGGAGGGGAAAAGGATGGGGAGTCATAAAGTACATGTCCTGCCAAAGGCCATCCAGATACAGGCTGTTGAGGGCGCCTAAGTAACTGGGGCAAGGCCCCAGTAGAAAGAAACAGGGTGGGTGGGAACCGGTGCACTGGGCAAGAGGTGGGTGGGAACCGGTGCACCGGGCAAGAGGTGGGTGGAAACCGGTGCACCGGGAAAGAGGTGGGTGGGAACCAGTGCATCGGGCAAAAGGTGGGTGGGAAACAGTGCACCGGGTAAAGAGTGGGTGGGAAACGGTGCACCAGGAAAGAGGTGGGTGGGAACCAGTGTGCACTGGGAAGGAGGTGGTGGGAACCGATGCACCGGGAAGGAGGTGGGTGGGAACCGATGCACCGGGAAGGTGGTGGGTGGGAACCAGTGCAACCAGGCAAGAGATGGATGGGAACCGGTGTGCCGGGCAAGAGGTGGGGTGGGAACCAGTGCACCGGGTAAGAGATGGGTGGGAACTGGTGCAACCGGGAAAAAGGGGGGTGGAAACCGGTGCAACCAGGCAAGAGGTGTTAGGTGGGGGAAACTGGTGCTACCCGGGAAAGAGGTCGGTGGGAACCGGTGCACCAGGCAAGAGGTGGGTGGGAACTGGTGCTCCGGGAAAGAGGTTGGGTGGAAATGGTGCAACCGGGCAAGAGGTGGTGGGAAATGGTGCACCAGGCAAGAGGTGGGTTGGAACTGGTGCTCCGGGAAAAAGAGGTGGGTGGAAACCGGTGCACCTGGGCAAGAGATGGGTGGGAACCGGTGCACCAGGCATGTGGTGGGTGGGAACCGATGCACCGGGCAAGAGATGGGGGGGAACCGGTTCTCGGGAAAGAGGTGGGTGGAAACCGGTGCACCGGGCAAGAGATGTTGAGGATGCTCGGGAGTGAATGCAATAGGTGGACCCCAGTAGGATTGGTAAGAGGAAGATAACAACATATTTAACATTCGCAGTAAAGTTGCACAACGTTCCGTGGCTTCTTCTGGGGTCAGTGGCGGCTCAGACTTTATCCGGCTGGACAGTGTAACCTGTGTCCTCCTTATAGTGGTTGTAAGCCCTTTCATATACCCAGTGAAGTGACTTGATGTACGGAGATGAAAACAAATCCTCC